CCCACGAGTTCCGGAGAGACAACTTCCTTGCAGTTTGCTCCAGTCCCTGGGCTCAGATGTGCAACTCAGAGTGTTTCATCTGCACAGCAAAGGGCCCAGCTCAGCCCTGGCTGCTCTCCTGTCTCAGGGGGGCTGGGGTGGGGTCCTAACCCACAGAGATAAGGCTGCGGAAGGGAAGGAAGCGAGTGCCCCTTGGAGGTGGGAAGAACTTTCATGAGCTTAGGAGGTATTTATGCAAAAGATGGGGCTGGGGTAACATCTGTCCCATTTCAAAGGACGGACGGATGCAAGGGTTGCTCCAGTTATTTGAGGCCGGGGCACCCGAGAGGAAGTGGAGGAGTGGACTCGAGTTCAGGCAGGGAAGGAACAACTCAGGGGAGGAGTCCTATGGCCTGGATCTCAGCCGTGGCCAGCTCTCTCCCCCAAGTCTACCTTCCTGATGACTGAGCATGCAAGGTGCGGCCAGCACCGCCAGTGTAGACGTGACCTCTTCTCCTTGGGACAGCGCAATACCTGAATTCCTGTAAGCTCTCGACAGAAAGACCAAGTGCATTCACCAGTGTCTCAGCCCCAGACTTCTAGTGGGGCTGATGATGGCACCTTGGGGATCTGAAAGATGACTACATGTGGGTTATGCAAAGAAAGGTGGCCGGGGTGGGAGGCTGCGTGGCTGGGGTGCACTGGCCCTTGCAGGCCCGGCGCAGCCCTACCACAGGTGCCCAGGAAGTGGTGTGGAGACTCTCACTGGCCCTCAGGCCAGCCGCCACCACGCAGTCGAGAACCACCATGCGACAGAGAAGCACCGACACAGCAGGCCTGCCCGGAGACGTGCATGAACCATCCCGACATGGAGAAACCCCTGGGAAAACATGCCACATGGCGGGTCGCTCTTGGCCCTGCCCTTGAGAGCCATAAAAGTCAGGAGTCAGCGGAGGAGCCACTGATGAACAAGGACTTGGAGAACAGGAGAGTACCGATGCCCAATGACTCGGAGGCCAAGCTGACTGGGGACGCAAGAGCCATTTGGGAGCCGGAAACCAGGAGGACCTTGCGCAACACCCGGGGAGACACCCTGGAGGCCATTCTTCCCCTAACTGCAGGCTGCGGTGGAGAAGGGAGTGGAGCTCCGGAGAGGTCTGCACCCAGACTTCATGGATTACATGGGTGCCCAACATTCAGATTCTGTAGAACCGCCTTCATGGAGAAGGTGCGTGTCCAGGTTACCTGCCTGGGACACTTTGCACTGATGGTGCTGAGACTGACTAGCGGGCGAGGACTTCATCCACATGTTCCTGCCGCCTGTGTGGATGGTTGGGGAGAGGACACTAAGTGGTTGCGGGGTCCCAGTGAGCTGGGAGGCTAGAAAGAACACCCCTCTGCCTTCTTAGACAAGAGGCATTGATAAAGCATACTTCTCTGGATCTCAGTTCAGTAGTATTCTTGAGGATGGGTTTGTTGCTCAGTCAGGCCCAGACAGTGGAAGGGCGCTGCGGAGGATGGCTTTTGCCCCGGGTGGCTCGCTTGAGATGTTGGTGGGAGTTGCCTCCTCAGTGTTCTCTGGCCATGGTGAGGGGGGGCCAAGGGGAGAGGGCAGAGAGACCGAGAGGGGACGGCTGCCTTTGATGCAGCCCTGGGAGAGGCAGACCCTGGGTGTGGTTCTTGCGGCTCTGGGGGGCTCATTGACTGCATTCGTCTGCTGCCGCTGTCGGGGGCCGGGCCACCTCGGGAGGGACTGCCCTGGGAGGCCCCCTGGGCCGTGCCCTGACTGTGGGGGTGGCCACTGGAGGTCGGCCCTCTGGAGTGGAGGCCCCGGGGCTCGAACCCCTCCTACCAGCTGGTCCGGCAGGAATGAAGGGGCCCAGGGCATACTCTGCCTTCTCCCTCTGGCCAGATCGTTGTCTCCAAGGAGGAGCCCCGCAAAATCATGACTATAGAGGAAAAAGTGGACGGCCCATTGCTGGACACTGGTGCTGATCTCTCAGTCCTTCTTTTCAGTCCTGGCCTTCCTTCCAGCCGTCACACCTCAGTGAGGGGAGTCACTGATGAGGAGGTAACCTGCTATTTTTCACAACCCTTGGGCCGTAACTACTTGTTGGATCTTTCTTGCATATCTTTGTTTTCCTGAGAAGCCACTTTGAGGATGCCAACATGTATTACAGCAGCCACTGATGATTTCCTACCAATCTGTCCATAACTCTGTAATGTTTGTGCTGTTCCTATGCTATTTTGTAAATGGATGTATGTTCGTTACTATGTGTTTTCAACAACAACCACTGAGTATAGTTAATGATGATTTGATTGATCACTCATGTATAGCTCTATCTATTTTCCCTAGAGAACACTTTGGAGAATCCAAGCTATAGTATAACAACCATTGATAATTTCCTGCCATTTTTGTTGTAACACACAATTATTTGTCTGTTTTCCTGAGAAACTATCTTGAAGATACCAATAAGTAAAATAACAACCATTGATAATGTCCTACCACATTGTCTGTAATTCGGTGAATCCCCCTATTGCTATATTGTCCTTGTTTTGCTCTTTAAAATAAAAAAAGTGAAAAAACAAAGAAAGGGGGTGTGCGTGTATGTGTGTGCAGTGGAATATTATAAACCTTTCAAAAGGAGATCCTGCCCTTGTCCACACAGATGAGCCTGGAGGACATTATAGTGAGTGGAATAAGCAGGCACTGAAAGAAATAAATGTATTGCATCTCATGAGTGTATATACAAGCTAAGATGGGAAGATATGGTGAATGTTTAAATTAAAAATACACATCTAGCACAGTAAAAGACTGTCATTAATACCCCTGGAAATCCTCCTGCTAGCGCCCAACACACTGATCTCCTCATTCCTGCCCTTTCTGAAGCAGCTCGGTGCTGCCCTGGCGGCCTTGATGCACTGAATCAGTTCAGAACTTTTCCTTGGGTGGTCATTGTGACTCTGGGAGGAGCCAGAAGTTGCACGGTGCCAGATCTGGTGAATAAGCTGGAGGAGGACACGGCATCGTGTTCCTGCAAGCCTGCCTTTCTTTTGGATGCTGCTTGGCGGCAACATTCCTAGTATTCTCTGTCACATCAGGTAAAGACACTCTGGAAGGGGACTTCCAGAACTGCTTCAGAAAGGGCCAGGAATGATGGGATCGGTGTGTTGGAAGCAAGTGGAGTATTCTGAGGGGAATTAGTGGCAATGTGTCTTCACCGTCATAAATTATTCAATTTAAACATTCACTGTGTTTTGCGATCACACCTTGTGAGAGGATTCTTAAAAAAATAAATTTACAGAGAAAGAGAATAAAATGGTGGTTACCTGGGCCGGGGGCAAGGGAGACAGGTGAGAGAGGACAGGTTGGCACCGGGGAGCAGGACGGGACCTGCCCTCCTGGCGGGGCGGCGACACGGTTGTGCTGCATTTGGGATTCCTGCTTTAGGACGCTTCTGCCACAAAGCCAAACAAGAACGTGAGTCTGTCTGTGAGATGACGGATACGTCCATTTGCTTCTGTGTAATAACCTTCTACACTCTGTGTGCCTCCCGTGACATCATGGTGTATACTTTATACATGATCCAATTTATTTTATAAGGAGAAAAATAAAATGGGATGGTACTTCCAAATTGCAGGTCCATCCATACGCACAAAGCTAGGGAAAAGGAAAGGCAGGAAGGAAGGAGGGGATGGGGGAGGGAATATGCCTGCAGGGCTGAGTGGTTGGACTCCAGTTCTCACCTGAACTGAGAGAGAGAGACAGACAGAGAGAGAGGGAGGCAGGATTCAAAGCCAGTTGTCATTTTTTCTGCTTATTGTCCGTAGTCCACTGGAGCTGCGCCTGTCAGACACTGAGATGGAGGATGATGCAGGCTGAGCTCTGCCTGGGGCGCTGTTTTCTGCTCCTTTGATCTCACATCTCTGCTCCCACCCCCTTCCCTTTGTCTCCCCACTCCCACTCTCCCTCTTCCTCTTCCTCTGTCTCTGTCTCCCCCTCTCTCTCCCACGCCCTTCCCGCAGCCACCCCCATTTCAGTTCTGCCCCATCCTGACACCAGTAGGAAGAAAGCCTCACGGAAGCCCTGCTCCATCCCTGAGCCTCCCAGCGGGGCACCTGCACGGGGTGATGGTACCATGGCGGTGTCTCGTAGCCCTCATTCCTGCACGGCTGCGGGCAGCGGTCTCTCTGTGAAGCTGTCTGACCATGTGGAAGTGGCTACAGAGGGGCTGCCTCTGCCTTGGTGCGGGAGGCCCGGCTGTGCCCCTGAGCCTGTACTCCCAGTCATTTCCCCATTTCCTCTTCCAGGGACGGCTGCCACCACGCCACCTTTTTAGCTTACCGCTTAGAAGAGCGGGTGTTATGTAAAACTCGCTGTACAGAGGTGGAAGCTAGTTACACCAGCACAGCAGCACTGAAATGCTGCTGATTGTCTCCCTTGGGCTGGCTTCAGATCCGGGCCTGTAGGAAACCCTGGCATTTGTCGCACTTACTTCTGTCTCCAGGCGGCATCTGGTGACTTCTCTGTGCTTGTCACACCGTCCTTGGTGCACTCCCTCATCCTGTACTCACCCCAGCATGGCGGCAGCTCTGCCTCCCATCGCCGGAAATCAAGCCCACTGTCCTCAGAAACCCTTCAAACTCCACATACCACCTTGGGCTGGCTGTGGAGCAGGGAAAGCTAGTATAGTAGCATAAAGGTTTCTCTTAGCACAGGGAGAGGTCATCCTGGATGGAGTGGTTTGGAAAGCATCAAAGAACACAGTCTCTGTTTGCCATAATTATGCACAACCCCTGGTCTGGACGTGGCAAGCAGCTGCAGGAAGAGGGAGCTGACACCTGAGGGGGCGGCTGAGGCAGGCAAATACATGGGAAGAAAGCGCGGGGATGATGGCTTGTCCTGAAAGCATCTTGGTTGGGATGCCAGTGCTCTCCCCTGGGCCTGCGGTGGTATGCATGGACTTGGCCAGCTGCAGCTGCTCCATCCCTCACAGTTGCTCTCCTCTCCTCCTCTCCAGTGCAGACAGCAGCTCCGAGGAAGTCATGCAGGTCGATGTGGAGGTCGAAGATCCCAGCGACCCTCCAGCCACACAGCTCGTCACGTGGCAGGTGGAGTATCCCGGAGACATCACCTCTGACCTGGGCGTGTCCGAGATCTACGTCCGTCAGAAGGACTTGGTTGGAGTGATCCCACTGGCCATGGTAAGGTGGGTGGGGAGGAGAGGCTCCGGCTCCAGCTGGCCCAGACTGGGGAAGGGTCAGACTGCAAGCCAGGGAGCCCAGGAGGGAGGTTTCCCACCAATAGGGATTCTGGGATTCTGGCATCTCTCCTAAACTATCATGTGAAAATGCTCGAGCTGGCCAGAAGTGGCAGCTCAATCCCAGCAATGGGAAGGCTGAGGCGGGAGGATTGTTGTGAGACCAGCCTGGGCTACAAAGTGAGCTCAAGGCCAGCCTAAACTGCATAGGGAGACCCTGTGTCAAAGAGACAAAAAAAGAAAATGGTCAAGCTGCAGGTGTTAGACGGGGCCTGGCCTGTGTGGAACTCGCGGTTCTGTGGTGCATGTGACAGGTCCTGTGGACGCCAAGGACTCCAGCCGGGAGGGAGCTGGGAAAGCTGCTCCTTGGCACAACTCATGGCTCGGCGCCTCCCCGAGGGGAAAAGCAGGCAGCGGGGAGGCAAAAGCCGAGCAAGGGTGCGACCGGACTCCTCCCCCCATGCCCGGCCCCAGGCTCAAGCGCCGGGCCCCAGGCTGCATGTCTGCCACTCTGCACCTCCTCACGGCCAGGAGCAGCCAAAGCGGGGCCTCTGCTGGTGGGCCACGCACCTGCACCTCGTGTGTGCCTCAGTTTCTTGATCTGCAGAGGCTGGGAAGAAAGCGTAGGAACGCATGAGGTCACTTTCAGGATAAAACATAACCGAGGTGTCCTAGCCGGTGTCGCTTGGAGCACACACACAGCAGGAGTCAGCTGGGAACAGGCTCATGTGCCTGAGTGCCGCACCCCCAAACACGAGTGAACCGGACCCCAACACTTGCACTCTGAGGAGTTCCCATCTGCCCCCTCGCAGCAGCTGCTCCCAAGGGTGAAGTCAGAGCCCCGACACCCATCTGTATCCAGGGTGTTCCAGGCCCTCTCTCTTTGGTTAAGGAAAGAACTTGCTGCTGGGGGTCGTGTGGCCATGGTCAGTAAATTATTAGGCTTTTGGCAATTTTACGTGCATGGAGAGGCGTTTGTTAGAGAAACAGGAGCCGCGGGGTGTGTGTGGGGGGCTGGTTCGGGGCGGGGGGGTTGGGGCTGCCAAATACCAGGTTTTAGAGAATTGCCCTGGCTCCAAGCAGAGAGTGAGATTAGAGCCTCCGAAGGGCGACGGAGGACCTGGGCCCTCGCGGGCACGTGTCACTTGCGCAGGCGCTCCAATGGCCCCAGAGCTGGGGATGCAGCCTCCTGCAGCCAAGTGACACCACGGTGCCGTCTTCATCTGCACAAACCCAAATAACAGCAATTGCGCCTGTGTCGCAGCAGCGGGAAGAGGCAAAGGGCTGAAGGGCGGATGCAGTCTTGGCGCAGAATTCTCCGTCAGCTCCCATCCCTCACAGAGGAGCATGGCCACGGGGCCCCATCGAGCTGCAAGGGAGGCTGGGAAAGACGAGGCCAGCGTGGGCAGGACACACATGAGGGAGGGCGAGGTCACAGGGGTTGCAGACCAGGGCAGGGAGCCATTGGGAGAGACGCTGGTTCCTCCCCGGGCACTGGGGGAGGGCGGGAAGGAAAGACCGGAACAGACGCTGTGTCCTAGCTGTGGGTCCAACCCTGAATTCCCCCACACAGCTCTGCAACACCACGCACAGCCTCAGCATTTAGGAGATTTGTTTCTATTACAAAAGATATTAGTGTTTCATTTTCTTGTACAGCTATCTTTGCATACATCCCTGATGGATTCCTGGAGTTGATCACTGAGAAATAAATTTGAGCCCAAGGACTCAAACCCAAGGATGTGCAATATTGTAATACCTTTTCATAATGGTGGCCCAATTGCCTTCTAGAAGGTTGAACTAATTTACAATTCCACCTGCTGTGTGTAATGATACTCCATCCCCTGCGCCTCTACTAATGCAGAATATTAAGATTTTTAAAAAATAGATGATTGATTAAGTAAAAATTATATCTCATTGTTGCCCTAATTTGTCATTCATAGCATACATTTTCATTTATTTCCTCATTAAAGATTTGTTCTTTGCTCATTTTATTTTCTTCTTGGTAATTCGACTGCTTTTTAGTCTGTTATCTCTTTTATCATGGAAAAAACACATACTGTTCATTGACCATCTTAACCATTATAGGGATATAGGTTGGTGGCATTAAGTATAGACATGTTTGTGGGCTGCTACAGAACAAAAACTCAACACCTGCTACTCCCCAATCTCCCCGCTCCTCGGGCCCTGACACCCACCTTGCTCTCTGAGTCAGACTAACCTTTGCGCTCTGCATCAGTGTCCCTAACCAATTTACCGCACACCTCTAACTTCACTGAATGTGTGTTTGAGCAGGCAGGAGGTTTTCCTGTCTGTTTAATTTTTTATGTGGTCAAATCTATTGATTTTTTTTCCATAATGGGAATCCTTCATCTCCTCTAATTATGTCCAAGAGGAAAAACCATACCCATTTTTAATGTTTTTGTATGCTCTTTAGATAGTAAAATATTCCGAGCACAACACGTGCAGGTAAGAGACCTACAACCTTCACCAAGTGGCACAGGACACGGAGGAGCAGCGTGGCTCTCCACGAGGGGCACAGATGCATTGGTGGCAGCGCTCACGGCTGTCCTATCTGACTGGGTCTAACTTCATCTGCAGGGGAGATCTGAAAGGAGACGCAGTTTGCCTGGATGCTGCGGCCCTGAAAGCATTTGTAGTTTCTTAACCCAATCAAGTGTTTCTAAGAGTTTTATTGCATTCTTTTCTACTCAGGGAAGTGTGTGTTACTACACTGTGGGTCAGATACGATCTCCTTAGGGAGGAAATGCTGAGGAAAGGCCGTGAGCTGTGCATTAGCCCTGGGCACTAAGTGCCCGCCTGGGCTGGGCCCGGACGTGGGCATCTGTGTCCAGCATCGCAGGATGACGCCTCGTTCTGAGCAGTGAGCTCACGGTACCTAATCGCCGCCTCCTGGGCTTTGCTGAGACAGGGGTTCTGGGCTCACTCCCGGGCTCCAACAGCAGCTCTGGCCTGTGCTTCGGCACACCACGTCCTCTGAGCCGGGCCCCAAGTGCCCTGCGTGCTGACACCACACATGCGTACCGTCGGGCCTTTGGGGAGGAGGTTTGCGGGGTCGCAGCTGTGGCCATTGGCATGAGCTCAGGAGCTGGAGGAGGCTGACCCCGCTCTGCTGGGGCCCCTCCAAGCCTGCCCTCCCTCCTCAGGCCCCCCGCCCAGTGCTCACTTAGGTTGCATCTCTGTCTTGCTGCGCAAGTACTAGTTATTGTTATCTGCCTGGGGCCGGGTGAAACACCGCCTTGGGACACAGGCAGCCAGGCAGCATCTGTGCGGCTCTGGGACACAGTCACGGCAGAGGTCCCACCCTCAGGACCATAGCGGAGGTGATGTTGCGTGGTATTTGCAGTGACATCGAGTGGACCCACAGGGTTTTTCACAGGGATTTTAAGCAAAGATGAAGGATCACAGAGGCCACACCCTCTTCCCGGGGGACCTATGTCTTGCTGTCACCTCCCGAGTGTCTCGGCACACCTTCCCCACAGATGTCTCAGAGTCCTGGCTCCGCCCCCTGCCCACAGGCCTCCTCCAGGGTCTGCCTTGATCCCCACTTCCCGATCCCCTCTCACTGACCCTCCCAGTCCTTCCCGGTTTTATCTCGCCTAAACCCACCTGATCTCCAAGTCCCTTCCCCCTGCTGAAGCAGCCAGATTGCATCCTCCACTTCCGGCCTGCTGTCATCTGTACCCAAAAGGCTGGCCCTCAGCGGCAGGAGCTGGGCCCCCACAGCCCGGACACCCGCACGGGTGCTGCCAGTGTCACCCTGGCCAGACCTGGCTGTTGCTTGCCTGAATCCCATCTTTGTGTGATGCTGGAACAACAAGGAAGCGTCCCCTTCCTCCCTCGTCCTGCCCCTGCCCTCTCTGTTTCCGACCGAGGCGTGGTCTCCTAAGTCTGCGACTCAGTAGAAGCAGTGCCTTTCTGTAAACCAGCAAATGAAGCTGCCCCACACTCTGGCAGTCAGGAGATTTTGCTATTATAAATATTCTGATCAAAGTCACTTCAGAGGGGCCTCGCTGAATCCAGTACCTTTCCCTCCTAAAATGAACCGAGCTCCTCTTCATTGCCCATGCCGCCCATCCCCTGCAAAGCCCACAGGTGTCCTGGTCTGGCCATCGCCGAGTCTGTGTCACCACCCTGTCCTGGGACTGCGCTTAGCCGGCATCCGCTGCGTTCTGTGCCCTGGGGGAACCACAGTATCGGTCTGGGTCAGTGCCCAGTAAAGCTGGTGAGCCCTCCTCCTCACCTTCGGGAGGAGGACCCTTGAGAGGGTGACGGGCTGGCTGGCGCCTGTGGTCCCCGAGTTCACCCGGGTCGCCCGCCAGGTGGGCGGGGAAAGCAGCCCCGTGGGGAGGAGAGCCCCCCGGCTCTAGTCGTGCGAGCTCCTGTTATCCTTGGCTCTCTCTGCCCGGCCTTCCGCGGGATTCCTCCCTCGTGTCAGCCTGTTAATTCACGTGCCAGACCCTTCTGTTGTTTTCCTCCACTTCCTGAAAATTCAGTCGCACTACAGAGCACATCACACTTTCATTTTCAGACTTTCTCAACCGAGTGCAAATTAGGATGCTGAGATGGTCCTTGAGAAAATCTCCACTCCCGGGCGCCTTTTTCCTTTGTGTTTGTTGAGTGGCCCAAATCACCACTCCATGATTTTGCCTAATGCCAACCGCCTATCAGATGCCAGGTTCTTCTGGCCACGACTCCCTCACTGACAGCTCCTGCAATTGTCACAGCCACCGGGGAGGGGGGTGCCACCTGTCCTGTCTCCCACCTGGATGGGGCCCTTGGAGCTTGTAGCCTGACCCCCAGCTGCTCAGCTTAGATGCCCAGCCGAGCTTAGATGCCAGGTGGGCAAGTCCCAGAGTCCCGCTCCGACCCCACCCACTGCACCATTCAGATGAGTGAGAGCAGAGACAGCGGGCTGCTGCCCAA